GGTGGTGTTACCGGAAAATGAATGAAATGAATAAATAAATTATATTATATCAGAAAATTAATAAGATGAAATGAAATTATTGTTTGATTTCTAACCAAAGCTATGTATATAACTCAATCGCCTAAAGGTTTGCCGAACCGTAAACATATGTTTACATATCCAATTTCGTGAGTAGGTTCCTGGTACTCACACCTTTTTAAGAAGTTTCACTTCTATCATGTGNTAATAAGATGAAATGAAATTATTGTTTGATTTCTAACCAAAGCTATGTATATAACTCAATCGCCTAAAGGTTTGCCGAACCGTAAACATATGTTTACATATCCAATTTCGTGAGTAGGTTCCTGGTACTCACACCTTTTTAAGAAGTTTCACTTCTATCATGTGAACGGTGTTACACACGCTTTTTTTTATTATCTGAAAATTTGATAAAAAAAGAGCCTAATAACATTAAAAAACAATATCGCAGTATGCAGGGGCGGCGAAACGCCCTGTGTCCGGGTGGGTAGCTCTGCTGGTGGCAAGAGTATAGAGGAAAAGAAAATAGGTGGCCGATGTACATAATTCAGAAGATTAAAAGATTTCATTAGAAAAACTTATTGTTTCGTGTATATAGGGTTGCCAGATTTTTTATGCACGAAATCAGTACGTTAGACTTTTTCATGCTAAAAAAATCAGTACTTTTTAGTACACTTTTATTCCAAGCAAAATTATGAATGTAAGTAAAAGAGAATGCTTTAAAACGCGAGACTACTTGTATTTAACAATATTTTGGTATAAATAAAATATATTTCATAAAAAATGTTTTAAATTAAAATATTCATAATACAATTTTCGAACCTATACTGTATAAATAAGTACCTAAGCTTCCTAAAAAGCTTTAATATTTTAAAAACTATTAGTTATCGTTGAAATCGTACAATAAAACTTCTTTGAGAAATACTTTCTTAGCTTTTTAAAAAATAATACTAAGAATTTTGCTTTAAACCGTATTTCTGCAATTTAATTTTTGGCGTACTTCTTGTTTACTATGATGTATAGAATATTAAAATTTTTGCATTTTTCTTATCCCAAACTTCTTTTTGTATATTTTGAAGTTAGGTATTCTGTGTTTTGATGAGAATTACTTATGAAGTTAATAACAGAAAATCGGATTTGCGGAACATATCGAGTTCTTAAAGAATTAATATACTGACTTTTTTTAACTTAAATTTTCATAGCGTATAGCTTTTTCTAACCTTTTTTAAAAACGAATTTAGCTGCGCATTTTGCGGTCATCTGTTCACACTGCTTCTTATGTTAGTCCTGTTCGCACTCTCTTCTCTCCCAATTTGCCAAACGACGTCGTAATGACGAATATTTGCTTTTTTCCAAAGTTCATTGTTTTTCTATACCATTACTTATTGAAAATGTTTGCGTGTATACTTGCATATGTATATGTAAGTAAAAAAATTTAGCTTCCATTTTTAGCCACAACGACATTTTTTAGCTCTTTCTTAACCTTTTTTTGGAATTTGGCTACCACTAAAAATTATTCGCGGCAACACTGCTTGCTACCCATGCATGCTTCTACTTTGCAATGGGTGCTCTCGTACTCTTCGAAATTTGGAATAGTATTTTTGCATTTCGTGCAATCCGTGCATCGTGCAAGACTTCGAGAATACCCCTATTGTCTGTTATAAGCCTTTGACACCTGCATGACATTATCACCAGTGTCATTGTCAGCTATATGTCGTTTAGGATTCACAGCAAGTGCGACGATGTCACTAAATCCTCATTAATGACGATGTCACCACATTTTCGCCACTGTGTTTCTTTAAATACGCACTACATTAGATATTACATTTACAATTATTACATATAGATTCTATTTGCATGTACTTATATACATACATATATGCATAAGTGCATAGTTATTTACTGAAAGGTAGCGCAGAATGAGCAAAAATTTTGCAGCAATAATCATGTAATAACTAAGCTTTGGTTTTACTACGACCTTGCAAAGATGGAAAAATTTAACTTGCCTGAAGTATGTATATGTAATATTGCAGCAGCTTTCTACCTACCTTTTGTTTATTTTCTTCTAATAATTAGGGCCCGTGCCAATCGGTAACTTTTTTCTCCCTGGTAAGACGGGGTGGAAAAATTTGCTATGGTGTACAAATAAATTGAATTTTGCTGTGCCAAATANATAGTTAAACGAGTTAAGAATGTCGTTTAACACAACGCAAGAATGCACCTTTCACAAAATTGAATTCCTTAAAATTGTAATTTGGCACAACGCAAAAGTGCACTATGTATGACATTGAATTGTTTAAATTGATAACTTGCATATTTATATTTACCTATTAGTATCTTCAATTATCCAACTTGTAAAACGTATTTAGTGAATACCCTAACTTGCATTGTAAAAGTTTTATAAGTAGTTTGCATTGAATTTGAGTGGTTGGCAACGCGCGTTGGTAATGCAGCGCGCGCGGCTGACATATAGGTTGACAAATGCCAACAAAGAATTATTATACATACATAAATTTTTCAAGTTTTTCGTGTGCGGTCGCAACCCAGAAATACTTTTGCGTTAATCAAAAACAAAGATTATTGAATAAACGAAATTGTACCCTAAAGTTCAAGTTCGGTTTTTTATTTCGAGTCGCCAAATCCGTGTCGGTAAGCGCGCAAGCCCACTCCCCTCGTTTGAAAGCAAGTGAGTTTGCGCAGGAAGCCGCCGCAACCCACGGGAGCACAACAGCCCCATCCTCGCCAAAACAGCATCCCCGCCGCGGGAATACCACACGCCGCCAGAAGCCAGTCACCGTCACCCTAGTAGCAGCGAACCATCTAGCCACCACCGCCGCAACCTTCGCCGACCTTCAACCGCAACGCCATCTCCGTCACTCCACGCCCGGATCTCAGCAGCCTAAAGAGGAGCCGACCCCCCTTACTATTGGTCCTTCGGCGCCAACAGAGAGCCGCACCGGTGGAGTACCATAACCCCAAAATGAAGTATCCCCAGCAAAACCGTGAGTAAAAATCAATTTTTTACTAACCCTGCGGTGAAACAAAGTTTTTAAAAAGGCAGAAAATAATTCCTTGTATGTTTAGTGAACGCCAGCATTAAGTAATANTAAGTCATACATTTTCCCTTGCTCGGGCCATAAATTTTCAATTTTCCCGCCATATTTTCATTTTTCCCGCCAATTTTACCTTTTTTGCGCCAATTTTCACGAATTTTTTACCCACACAAAGACTTTTGCAAGAATACATATACATATGTACTTCACATAACATTCTGTAGCATACAAGCAAATAGTACTTGGCGTACATATATATATACACATATACCAAAGCTCATAGTATATACAGCGGCTAATCAGTTAATCCCAAATAAACATACAAGGCATTATAGCTGGGAATACATAACTAACCCCTCGTTTAGTAATCCCTATATTTATATATATACACATACATTCATACACATACCCAACTACGTATTGGGCATATAAAAGAAAGTGCGGTACAAAGTAAATAAAATAACGTACAGTGAACTCCCTACAACAAATACCCATAAAAAAGGCAAGGCAGTTACAGTGCTCGAAAAGATAAAATACAGTCCATTAGATAGGTAATCATACATTTTGCGCTCAAATTATCTCCATTTGTGGTTTGCGTGAACAGGGTCAAGCGTGAAAATTCTCAACACGGTGATCCGAAATCCCTCATAAAGAAAAAAAAATATAGAATTTTCCCACTTATTAGTTTTCCCACACTCTCTTGGTTTCCAGGCGCTCCCCTGTGATTAATTCAAACCGTATTATTTGCGACCGCACAGTAAAGCCCCGATTGTATTTGATCACCCCCACATCCCAACCTTAATTAGGTCCGCTCATTCGACTTCGAATGCTAGGTCTCACTAGCACTCAAGATAAGCCAAAAAGTCCCAGAATGAGCGAAGAAGAAAAAATTCTCGAGACCCCCGCGGAATCTCAGCGCTCTACGCGTACAAGCGGAAAGCCAAAAAAGGCAAAACAATCGGTCATATGTACTAAATTCATATCGGAGACAGATAATTTGATGGATTACTGCGCCCGATTCAGATCAGCCCCGATCGAAGAAAATACTGAGTCTGTACTGAAAATAAAAGACAAGAGCCTAGAAAACTTTTGGAATAGAGTTCAAAACGCCTTTGATTCGACTTTGGAAATTGAAGAACATGACCTCCCCGAAGACTTTAGAGCGTCTGCCTACAGTAAATATAGGTCATGTTTGATTATATATGAAGAAACAAAAGCCCAAATCGGAGACCAACTCCAGTTAGTAGCACAAACCACAAGTCCCACTCCCAAAGCCAGTACATCACTTCCTCAGGAAACTTCAGGCATAAGCTTAAACGTCCCACCTTGCGACACCGAAACCTTTTATGGGGGTTATGAGCAATGGCCGTCCTTCCGTGATATGTTCACGGCGGTCTATATAAATCACCCTAAGCTCACTAAGGCGCAGAAGTTGTACCATCTCAGGTACAAAACGCAAGGAAAAGCTGCCCAAATAGTTAAACAATTCCCTCTGAGTGACGATAATTTCGAGCTGGCATGGGAAGCACTAAAAGCTCGCTATGAAAACAAAAGGGTTTTAGTAGATAACCAAATCCGCATCCTTATGAATCTAAAACCCATCCCAATAGAAAATAGCGAAGACATACAGAGACTGCAATCATCGGTGAATAACTGTCTCCAGATTCTAGGCACCCAGCAAGTCTCCACCGAAAGCTGGGATCCCATTCTGATCTACCTGGTTACCTCCAAGCTTCCTGAGAACACCGTGGCCCTATGGGAGCAGTCCCTCAGTTCCAGGAAAGACCTCCCGAACTGGTCCCAAATGAACCAGTTCCTCACTACTCGATACGAGGTGGTTGAAAGGGTAGATCAATTTCGTGCACCCAAACCTCCGCGGACTAATCCTTCGACAATAGGCTACTCGAGGCCAACCCCTCCTAACAGTAGGCCATTCCCTAAACCCCCCACCTCTCAGAACTCTCACAACAACTCCTTTTGCCAAATCCGAGCGCACATGACGGAACAACGCACAAAACCATACAAATGCCCAATGTGCAATAAACCTCAACACACTCTCTCTCAGTGCTCCAAATTTCGTCAACTGCCAACTCAGGATCGCAGAAAGTTTGTGAGAGAACACAACCTCTGTTTTAATTGCCTATGTCAGACCCACTTGATAAAAGACTGCTCAAGTAAATATACTTGCTCCCATTGTCAAGAACGGCATCACTCAATGCTTCATGAAGACACGCCCCCCATGCCTCCAAGACAGCAGTCTCGAACTCAAAGAACGACATCTCAGGTCGCTTTGACGACGCCCGCTAATTCCAACCCACAAAGTCCAGCTGGGTCGGCAACAAATCATGAGGAGCCTTCATGCTCAAACAGAGCAAGAGTACAGTCCTTCTACTCGGAAAATGAGAGCAAGATTCTCCTCCCAACAGCAATAGTTCCAGTTGAGCACAAGGGCGAGATCTTCAAGCTCAGAGCTCTCATAGATCAGGGTTCGGAACGAACTTTTATTTCCTCCAAAGCCCAAAATAAACTAAGGCTACCATACGAAGCTTCTAACTTTGAAATTTCTGGCATGGGAGGAAGAGTTGTTCAGACTTCGAACAAACTATGCAATCTCGTCTTAGCCTCCGCAGATTTGACCACGAAAATAAAGGCTCAAGCAATAGTCCTGCCACAGTTGACGAAAATGCTTCCCAAATTCCAGCCAACTCTCGAACAACGAGAAAAATGGTCTCACCTCCAGCTAGCAGATACTAACTGCCACTCCCCGTCCCAAATTGATCTGGTCATTGGCAGTGACCTCATTCCTGAAATAATGCTGGAAGGCATTGAGAAAATTTCCAAAAATCTGCTTGCACAAAACACCATATTCGGCTGGATCTTAAGTGGTCAGGTTCCCGAAAAAATAGCCTGTTTCTCCACTCAAGCTGCACCGATCTCCAATGAGGTTTTAGATTCCCAGCTGCGAAAGTTTTGGGAGCTAGAAGAGGTTCCGAAACCCAAGCTCACTTTGCCTGATGATGAAAACTGTGAAAAATTTTATCAGTCCACCACCACACGAGCAGCGGATGGTCGTTATGTAGTCAGACTGCCCTTTAAGCCAAGCTTCCCAGACCCTATCTCCCTTGGCCCGTCTCGCACCCCCGCCCTCCAACAGTGCCTGAGCATGGAAAGAAATTTGCTCAGAAAAGGCGATCTAAAATCACTTTACGAAAATGTATTAAACGAATATCTCACCCTCAACCATATGGAAGAAACAACTTCCCACGAGATATCTTCTCAAGGCAAATATTGGTCGTTCTACCTCCCACACCACGCGGTTATAAAACCCGAAAAAAGAACGACCAAAGTCCGAGTCGTCTTCAATGCTTCGAAGAAATCGGGGTCCGGACATTCCCTGAACGATGTTCTTTACACCGGACCAACCCTCCAGCCCGACTTGATGTTATTGATCCTCAAGTGGCGTATGTATCGATTTGTCTTCAACGGCGATGTCGAAAAAATGTATCGACAGATACTGCTACACAAAGACGACCAAGACTATCAACGAATCGTATTTCGACCATCTACAAATAGCCAAATACAAGATTATAAGTTGAAAACTGTCACGTTTGGTTTGAATTGCGCACCCTACCTCGCCATACGTACCCTTCACCAGCTCGCAGATGACGTGCAAACCACGTACCCCTTAGCGGTGCCCATATTAAACAATGAAACGTACGTTGATGATATACTTTCCGGTGGTCATGATCTCCCTTCAGCCGAAGAATCCCTCGCTCAAGTCATCCAAGCGCTCAATTCGGCAGGCTTCCCACTTAAAAAGATTACAGCCAACCACCCTGAAATTTTGAAAAACATCAACAAAGACGACCTGCTTGATACAAACTTCCTAGAATTTGAAACAACAAGCACCACTAAAACGCTCGGGATTCAGTGGAACGCTCTAACCGACACGTTTTCGTACACCGTTGATTCCATCCCAGCGTCATCCGCCAGTACAAAACGACAAATCCTCTCGGCAGTTGCCAAATTGTTTGACCCCGCAGGATGGCTTACGCCCATAATGATCCAAGCCAAAATCCTGCTACAAGAACTATGGCTGGACGGAACTGACTGGGATGACCAGGTCAAGCCCCTTCGTCTGACGAAATGGATGCAATTTGCAACCAATCTCCAAGCCATTTCTAGCATCCAAATATCCCGATGGGTAGATTTTGTCCCAGCCGACCAAGTCGAGCTACATGGCTTCTGCGACGCTTCCGAGAAAGCATACTGCGCTAACATATATGTGCGAACCACGAATGGTAGCAGGACCTCTTCTCATCTGCTGGTCTCCAAAGGCAAAGTAGCGCCTCTCCGAACCACCAGTTTACCCCGACTTGAATTGTGCGGCGCCCTTCTCCTAGCGAAGCTGGTCGCCGTAGTGCAGTCACAACTCGACCTATCTAAGAGGAAACTGACACTATGGTCTGACTCCGAGATCGTCTTGGCATGGCTAGAAAAACCCCCTCATTCATGGAAGACCTTCGTTTCCAATCGCACGGCACAAATTTTAGATCTCGTCGGAAACGCCACCTGGCGGCATGTGGGCAGCAGAGACAACCCCGCAGATCTGGGCACCAGAGGATGCAGACCCCTGGACTTAGCGGCCTCTTCGCTTTGGTGGCATGGACCGGAATGGCTATTAAGCCCACCCGAAGCCTGGCCAAAACCGGCCACCCGAAATATCTCCCCTCCAGAATTGCGCCGAGTCGAGGCATTACATGCCACAGAGGAAGATCACGATATCCTTGATCGCTTCTCCTCGTTTCCCCGCGCACTTAGAGTTATGGCGTATGTTTTTAAATTTATACAGTGTCTTCGAGACCGAGTCAGACAGGTTAGGTCAAATAATCCCATCTCTCTCTCCCATGATGACCTCCGTAATAGCAAATACAGGCTCCTAGCTTTGACCCAATCTCGCTACTTTCCTCGGGAAAAGGCCTGTTTAGCAAACTCCAAACCCATAGATAAACGGAGTCCTCTGCTTCCCCTCAACCCGTCTTTAGATAAAACCGAGTTGCTCCGCGTGAATGGTCGATTAGCTCACGCCACTTTGAGCTATAATGAAAGACATCCCATCATTATTCCCGAAAAATCCCGGTTCGCCATCCTATTCACCCGCTTTCTGCACGAACTGCTCCTCCATGCAGAAACTCGTCTCATGCAGCAAGTCATAAGGCAGGAATTTTATATCCCTCGGCTTAAGCCCCTCATAAAAAAATGCATCTTCCAATGTAAAAGTTGCACGGTCCACAAGCAGCAAACGCGATCGCAAATAATGGCGGCCCTCCCCTCGGAACGATGCACGTATGCTCCGCCCTTTACTATTACGGGCGTAGATTTTGCTGGACCTTTCCAGATAAAGGCCTCAATGCTAAGATCGCACACGTTGGTGAAGGGCTATGTGGCTGTTTTTGTATGTTTCACTACAAAAGCAGTCCACCTCGAGCTGTGTTCCGATCTGACCACTGCCGGATTTCTCGCTGCGTTTGCTCGCTTCGTCGGACGACGGGGTTATCCCGCTAAGATGATGAGCGACAATGGCAAAACCTTTGTCGGGGCCAAACGAGCAACCGAAAAGGAGTTCATCGAATTTCTGAAGGAGGTATCTCAAGACGTCATCCAGAAATACTCACCTCAAGGCATCAACTGGGAATTTATTCCGCCAGGAGCCCCCCATATGGGCGGTTTGTGGGAGTCCGCAGTCAAAAGTTTCAAAATGCATCTCAAAAGGACTGCTGGACCCAGCAAATTCACATTTGAAGAGTTCACCACCCTGTTAGTCAGAATAGAGGCCGTATTAAACTCCCGGCCAATCTCTGCTCTATCCCAAGACCCCACAGACTTCACAGCGCTTACGCCTGGCCACTTTTTACGAGGCGCCCCCCTCTTAGCACTCCCTGAAGTCGACCACAGCCATCTGTCCCTCCTTAATAGGTGGGAAAAAGTGAAGGTGTTACATCACGAGTTTAGTCGAAGGTGGAAAGAGGATTATATCAAGGATTTACAGAAGAGATATAGATGGAAAAATACCCAGGCAGAACCGAAAGTCGGTGACTGCGTTCTTATTGTTGACAATACTTTACCTCCCACTGAATGGCGTCTAGGCCGCATCGAAAGGTCACATCCCGGCAAAGACGGACATGTTCGAGTTGTCGATATACGCACTCAATCTGGCACCCTTACTCGCCCCATAGTCAAAATATGCCCGTTACCAATTGGTGACGCCCCCCTCTGATTTCTCCAAAGTAGCACTTGTTAAAGCCTTTAAGCACTTTCATGATAACAGATTCTCTTATCTCAAATGAATTTAAATCTCTGTGTATCTGAATAAAATATTCTAATCTCACGTTTCTTCAACTGTCTTGTAGACTCCCCACTGAAAATCGTATTTCACCGGCTTACTTACAGATGGAGAACGGCAACTCTAATGGCGTCCCGAAACCTGCGCCACGAAGCAACAATGGTGGCCCGACACTTACACCGCGCAGTAGCAGCAGCATTCCTGCACCCAAACCGCGAGCTAGCAGCGGTGGTCCAACCCCGGCACCCCGTATTGTACAAAAACCGCAACCAGAGGCCATGGTTGTTGATTCGGTTCCGGACACTCAGCCCGACGACGAAGGAGCGGACTATCAGCGATGCCGTTTGTGCGCACGTCATCATGCCCTGCGCGTATGCCACGTATTTCGCGCAATGCAGCCAGCGCAACGCTATCTGATCGCTCGTGCACACCACTTCTGTACCAACTGTCTTGCGCTGTCACATCACAGCAGTGAATGTCCCTCCGCTGGCGTATGCAAGCTTTGCGCCCAACGCCATCACACCCTTCTTCACCGCAAGAACACCTCCCAAGCACATCCACCGCCACGTTCAGCTCCAGCTTCAGCGCCACGCTCAACATCGGCTCGACGCTCAATCTCGGCGCCATCCAAATCCGCATCCTACCGCTTGCGCCGACCGCCCCGCAATGGAGTCACCCCCAACGCATATCAGCAGCCTCAAAAATTCCGGCACCCAAAGAATGTTCGTCATACCGCACATATAGTGCGTAACATAGCACCTCGGGGCAGGGCGACACGGAGTCTGGTTAAGGAGGCGATCCGAAAGCTACGGGAGTTGGAGAGCAGTCTATCCGCTTAACGCGTCTAGGGGCGGCAGGATAGTTAAACGAGTTAAGAATGTCGTTTAACACAACGCAAGAATGCACCTTTCACAAAATTGAATTCCTTAAAATTGTAATTTGGCACAACGCAAAAGTGCACTATGTATGACATTGAATTGTTTAAATTGATAACTTGCATATTTATATTTACCTATTAGTATCTTCAATTATCCAACTTGTAAAACGTATTTAGTGAATACCCTAACTTGCATTGTAAAAGTTTTATAGTAGTTTGCATTGAATTTGAGTGGTTGGCAACGCGCGTTGGTAATGCAGCGCGCGCGGCTGACATATAGGTTGACAAATGTCAACAAAGAATTATTATACATACATAAATTTTTCAAGTTTTTTGTGTGCGGTCGCAACCCAGAATACTTTTGCGTTAATCAAAAAACACCGTCCTTAAGATTATTGAATAAACGAAATTGTACCCTAAAGTTCAAGTTCGGTGGTTTTTATTTCGAGTCACAATATTGGTCAGTCGCCAAATCCGTGTCGGTAAGCGCGCAAGCCCACTCCCCTCGTTTTGAAAGTCAAGTGAGTTTGCGCAAGGAAGCCGCCGAAACCTGTCTTCGGTGTCACATTTCATCCCACGGGAGCACAACAGCCCCATCCTCGCCAAAACAGCATCCCCGCCGCGGGAATACCACAGCGCCGCCAGAAGGCAGTCACCGTCACCCTAGTAGCAGCGAACCATCTAGCCACCACCGCCGCAACCTTCGCCGACCTTCAACCGCAACGCCATCTCCGTCACTCCACGCCCGGATCTCAGCAGCCTAAAGAGGAGCCGACCCCCCTTACTAATATTTATTTTATAATTTGCAAGTAACGTAAGCTTTTTTTATACTGTTTCAGCTTTCATTTTCATGTTCACTCCTTATTACCGCCAAGCAATATTATGTGTATACATGGTTATAAGCTGTCAGAATTTTACCTAGCTCATGGGGCTTATTCACCACGAGAAATGTCAGATTTTTACTTTGATCCGTCAAAATTTTCTCTTTTCTATCATTTGGCACAGGCCCCTAGTATGCTTTAGAAATATTTTCGGAAGCAGAGCACATGATTTCGTTCGTTTAAAGCTGCAGCATGTAGTGATTTGTTCTTCAAAATGCATTTCCCTAAGTGCGGCGTTATGTGGTTTAGTTGGAATTTCCCTGAACACCAGATATTTCGTAAATACGTACGTTCTTCATAAAATTTTATTTTGTAGGAGTTGTTTGTGTGCACCTAAATAAGTGAGATAAACGATGCGGGTGGTCCATTCGCGATCACTCACAATAGCTTATCCTGAAAACTTTTTAAGGCGTTGTGTGGAAGATGTTTCTTCGTTGTACTTAAGTCACACTGTACAATTTCGTACACGTACAAAATTGTCAAAAAAATCATTATCGAATCTATTGAAAACAAAATTAAATTTTGATTTTCTCCACTGCTCAAAATTGGAAATATTTGCTTCATTTTTATAGACATACTAGCTTATACCCGCGGGTTTCACCCCGCGCCTTTATACAAATATGAAAAATAATTTAATGATGTTAGATTTTATATCTGTACCCATTTCGTTATAGCTCGTTATTTTTTAAGCGAGTTAAGGTATTTAGGCCGTTTCAAACTATGAAATTATAAAATCTCGTCTGCGCGCTAGGCATACCTAAGATATCAATCCCTCTAAGTTTACCTTAAAATGGTTCCAGGTATACGACGCGTGAACGTGTAACCTTCTTGGAGGTGCCACGGCGGGTTCTAATATTTCCAACTCAAATTTAGTAATCTGGCATTGATAAAATACCACTTCTCATTACTGTAGCAAATGCCTCAAGAGAGCTTTAGATTATAAGGCCGAAACCGGCTCTACCTTTTCCATTTAATGAAATTTATTCTGTCAGTACGGCACTTATAAAATAAATATCCATAACAAATTTAAAATACTTCGAGAGATTTTCTATCCTTCCAGAGATATGTATTAAGAAGTTTTTAGTATGTATGGGAGGCGACATGCCTCCTTTTTTAATAACTCACATATTTTATCCATGAGCAATTGATACATTTTGCATACACAACTCCATACCAAGTTCCAGTATTCTTCCACAAACACTTCCAGGGATATGTGGCAAGAAAAAGTAAATTTGTACTGGAAGTGCTACGCCCCTTTTTCTTATAACCATAATCTTCTTCCATGAATTTACAATTGATTTTACATACCCCAGTACCAAGTCCCAGTACTCTACCATGATCACCTCTAAAGATAAGCAGTATAAAACAGTAAATTTTTACTGGAGGAACCATATCCCGTTTTCGAATAACGCAAATTTTTCTCTATGAGTAAGGAATTAATTTTGTATACACATCTCGGTGCCAGGTTCCAGTCCTCTGCAATAAACACCTCCAGAGATATGCAGCATAGAAAAATCAATTTGCATGGGAATTGCCACACCACCTTTTCCAATAACTCTCATTTTTCTCCATGAGAATGGTATTAGTTTCACATACATACATACATACATATGTATTTCCATACCAAGCTTGAGTGCTTTACCCCAAACATTTGAAGAGATAATGCAATATGAAACTTTCATTCACTATGGGAGGTGCTACGCCTCTCTTCCAAAAGCGTCCATTTTTCTCCGTGAATATGAACATGATTTCACACAGTGTTGGGAAACTGTTATTCTGATTAACGATTAAAATGTTAATCGCGTTTGACGATTAAAATTAATTAGTCACAATCAGCTGTACGATTAATGATAACATTTTTTTAATCGTTAATCGCTGGCTGCGATTACAATTAATTAATTTAAAACATTAATCGTTAATCCAATTAAAAATAAAATCTGATTAATTTGTCTAGTTTGTCCGAGTTTGAAACCAAACACCAGTTATAGTAATTATTTTGTGTTTTACGCTTATAAAAAG